CAAAGTATTTTAAATAGGAGAAAATTACTATACATGATTAAAACAAAGTGAGGCATTATTTACTATGAAGAATTTTATCATGACAAGCAGAAAACAAAGCATATTATGGTAAAATTTTGCTCTCGTCAAAATATCCTCCTTTAACCTTGATTACTGCAGCACAAATATTTGTCGTTCTTTGGAAAAGTTTGATAATTGATTCTATTCTTTTTCTATGACTCTAAGAGCTCTTTTTCATTTTTTCTCACTCTTCTGTCAAGTTCATCCCATACTAATTCTGAGGGTGGCTTCAATCTTTTTCTTTTGTATATATATGTATATTTATATATATATATATAAGAAATATTATAAGAGATTTTGGAATCGCTACGCAAAAGCTTTCATGGTTCAATAACATGATTGTCATTCTTCAAGCGATGGTCAGTACCTTATGATTAAATGATGTTTTAAGGAAATTTCAAAACAAAGTGTTACCTCTTTTCCAAAAGTTAAACGGGGTGGGGGGATCATAAGGTCAGAATTAAAATTAGACTTGTGGGTATGTCTTGATTAACCAATTAAATGTCAGATCTACGCTAAATAGAGAAGCTCAGAGGGTAGAGGTTGGTGAGATATTTTTTCATGTCACGATAAAAGGGACCATAGACAGGCCATCATTGACGATTGCAGAAAATATGTGAGCGACAAATGTATTGTGATTGTAAACAAATATGACATTTCATTTTTTTAAAGGGCGTTGAAGGGATATAAATATAAAAATTATATATATATATATATATATATATATATAAATGTTACATTCATAAAAATAATTTCCTCAGATAGAAAATCCTCGAGTGTGCCGCCATTGAATATTATCCAAATATTAATCCTATGACCCGTTTTTTTCCAATATCACCTTTTCTAACAGAATTACTACTCTCCGAAGCCAACGTACACAAAATATATATCAAGAAATCAAAAGAAAACTGATGAATCCGTCTTCACAACAGTGCAAACATTATTTCTACATATTTCTTGCATTCGACAGCCTTCAGCGAAAGGTGGGTAACTGAAGCGAGCTTGGTTCACTTATACGCGGCTAGTCTTGATTTTATCTTTTAGGTCAACCTATATAAAATCGGGGTGGTTTCCTGTGGAGCCCTCCTCCTGGTTAGGCTAGACAAACTTTTGTGTACCTAGTTAATGTGAGTAAGTGTTGTTCCTGGCCTGCTCCCGGCTACATATTTAGTTATTGATCCAAGTTGAGATTCCCAACCTCCCCAGTTTGTTTTGACCCCCTTCCATCTCGACTGGATCAACTTTATTGATTCCTCGTCTATATTTTCTCATTTCCCCTCTCCCTTAGCGAGAGAGTCTCTTGATTTTGTTCAAAGGCAGAATACAGCGGCTTCCCTCTTTTTCGAAGGGTTGGACGGGTCCCACTAACATCAGTTATGCTTATTTTTGCGTTTTGATATTTAGTTTGCTTTGGGGTTACACCCCACCCCTTTCATGATAATTCATTCAATTTATATATATATATATATATATATATATATATATATATATATTGTAAATAATATTTATCATCTTATTGGGATGTCTTTCTAAGCCCCCCCCCCATGAGAGTATTATGGTATATAGAGGATTGATTGACGATGGATGAGTTTTTATGGTGAATGAGGAAATTGAAACAAGTGAATGGGTCGTGAATCTGGTTAGCTAGGTAAAAGATAGTTAGTGAACCCATTCCACCCTTTCGGCCTTGTGCCAGAATTGTATTAAATTGCAATAAATCTCAACACTATTTTTACATATGAAAAAAATTTTCTTCAAATATAAAAAGTAAATGACGTAATTTTCAGTTGACCCAATAAATATATAATAGCCTTTCTAAATTCTTATAGTTATTAACGACATTTCTTTGTTTATAGATACGTTGTTAAATTCATTTCGTTTTTTGACATGAAAAAGTCCGCATAGGGCGAAACGCGTCGGCTAAAACTACATACAATTTTCCTATTGTCTTTTTAACTTTATACATATTTTCTCTTTATAAGTGTAAATAAACTTAATACAGTTTGTTATAAACAGAGCATTTACTTAAATATTTGTATCTGTAAAAATAAAGTATAAACAGAAAATATGTAAAAATAATTGCCGGACTTAGTCCATTTCATAATATATGATGTCATTTGTTTACGTTAAGATACTAGTAGATATGAGCGTTTGAGAGAAATTATGGAAAATTTGATGTTTAAAAACAGTAATTTGACGCTTCCTCTGTAGCTAAATGGCATAGCATGTCAGGCTTTGATTCCTGTCTGAGGTCGCATATTTTCTATGAAATTTCTCGGACATTCCGGCCGGTAAATGTAGTTAATACGGTTTCTTGTAAACAAAGCATTTACTTAAATACTTTTATCTATAAAAATAACTATAAAAAGAATATATATATATATATATGACCGTTGTAAATGGTATTACCTTTAAGTGACTTGAAATTGGTTCCAGCGAAACGCCAGAATTAGCTAATCACATTTTCATCAACAGACTAAACACGCAGTTCTTGATAATGACTGTAGCGACAGTCAAAAGCAACCGGATTTTATATTAAAATGAACTTTGGTAAATTTAACAATTTTAATCAGGACATAAATCAACTTACCCAGAAGTTGGGAAAACTTCAGTGAGCTTGCTTAACAGAACTTGTTTGAAATAATTCTGTTTAGCAAAGTTAAATTACTGTTTTTAAACGTCAAGTTTAACAGACATTCTGACCGGTAAATGTAGTTTATAGTGTTTCTTATAAAGAGAGCATTTACTTGACTATTTCTATCTATGAAAATAACATATAAACAGAAAATTTATTAAAATACTTGTCGTACTTAGTCCATTTCATCATATACGATGTCATTTGTTTACGTTAAGATACGCTTCGAGCAGATATGAGCGTTCGAGAGAAATCATCGAAAATTTGTTGTTTAAAAACAGTAATTTGACTTTGCTAAATAGACGATTCTTCTGTAGCTAAATGATGTAGCAGGTCCAGCTATATGATGTTCCGTGTACGATACAGTTTGGATTCTTGAAGGATGGCACATATTTTCTCTGACATTCGGATATTCAGGCCGGTAAATGTTGTCAAAACTGTTTATTATAAACAGAGCATTTACTTAAATATTTTTATATATAAAAATAACATTTGAACAGAATATAACACTCTCGTTTGTATATGTTTGTATTACTTTTTTCTGTTAATATATTTGTTTAACTCAGTTCCTCTCTTTGTGTCATTATCTCTGGCTCTAATAAGGCCATAACACCATCTATCTATCTATCTATCTATCTATCTATCTATCTATCTATCTATCGTGGTAATTTACCTATGCACGCATGGAACCTCCCAGCTATAAATAGGAGCAGGTACTGCCTTTTGGAGAGGGAAGTTTCCAGCAGTCAGCTCTGACAGTTGGACCGAACATTCTTGCTGTAACACTGTCATTTGTATATGTTTGTATTACTGATTCTGTTAATATATTTGTTTAACTCAATTCCTCTCTTTGTGTCTTTATTTCTGGCCCTAACAAGGGCACAAACAACACACACACACACACACACACACACACACACACACACACACACACACACATACACACACACACACACACACATATATATATCCGAATTTAATGACAACGAAAATAATATATAGATTCTATCGTTCACAGCATTAATTCAAAAACAGGGCTTAATACCAATAGTAGAGCAATAATTATTTGTTATAAGTTTTCATATAGACAAAAACAATTTCTAATTGTTTTTGTCTATATGAAAAAATTATAATATATATATGGGTGTGCGTATATATGTGAGCATGCGTATGTGAGTGCGCGTGTGTGCATGCGTGTGTGTGCGTGTGTCTGTATGCGTGAGTATGACTGTGTGCGTGTGTGTTTGCGTGTTTGTGTGTGCGTGTGCGCGTGTGTATGCGTGTGCGTGTGTGCGTGCCTGTTTATGTGTGTGCGTGCATGTGTGTCTGTGTGTGTGTGCATGCTTATGTGTGGGTGTGCGTATGTATGTGAGCATGTGTATGTGTGTGCGCGTGTGTGCATGCGTGTGTGTGCGTGTGTCTGTATGCGTGCGTATGACTGTGTGCGTGTGTGTTTGCGTGTTTGTGTGTGCGTGCGTGCGCGTGTGTATGCGTGTGCGTGTGTGCGTGCCTGTTTATGTGTGTGCGTGCATGTGTGTCTGTGTGTGTATGCATGCTTATGTGTGTGTGTGTGTGTGTGTTCGCGCCCGTGTGTGCTTGTCTTGTGTACGTGCGTGTGTGTGTGTGTGCGCGTGTGTGTGTGCGCGTGTGTGTGTGCGCGTGCGTGTGCGTGTGTGTGTGCAAATGACAGATATCGGTAATGGAGAGACTGAGTTACGAAAAGAAAGATCCCGTTATTATTGAACCTGAATCTTGGATGGATGAAGAGAAATCATGGCGGACGAAAACACCCATTACTAAACATCGCTAAGCGCTGACGAATTAATAAACAAATTGAGTCTGACACACACGCTTTGAACTGAAAACAACGCCGAAATTACGAATGTCCAAAACATAAATAAACGCCCAGCACACAAGATGCGTGTAAAGTCTAGTACGTTATCTTCACATCTTTCTCTACCTTCATGTCGTTCCGTAGCAACTTAAAAAAAAAAACAGACTAACACCAAAAAGAGTCAAAAAAAAAAATTGCCCGTCAGAATTTTTTTCAGTATGGAAGGCGAGAGGCTTAGTAAGTAAGCCACACACGTGTGTTTATATTTTGGAGTCTAATCTGAACGAAGAGAATGTGTCGAAAATGAGATGGTGGAAAGATTCCGATAAAGATTTGGTAACAAAAAACGTTAATGACGGATGACAGGAAAGTTGAGTATGGGTGGGTGGAGTCGGTTTGAAGAGAGATAGAAACGAAGAATATGAAAGGGAGGGGGTGGTGAGAAAATGGTAGGGGAAAGATTAGAGAATATTATCGGAGGATGAGGTAGGGAAAAGAAACAGTGGGTGGATTGATAATAGAGAAGAATGGAGAAAGAAATAAGAAATAGATAGATAGATAGATAGAGAGAGAGAGAGAGAGAGAGAGAGAGAGAGAGAGAGTTAAGTTAAAATGCCGAAGAAAGAGGACGAAAAAGAAGTAAATGTAGAATCGCTGGATTAATGGTAGAGAAGAATGGAGAAAGAAAAAGAGATAGATAGATAGATAAATATGAAGAGACCGTGATAGATAGATAGATAGATAGATAGATAGATAGATAGATAGATAGATAGATAGATATGAAGAGACTGTGATAGATAGATAGATAGATATGAAGAGACTGTGATAGATAGATAGATAGATAGATAGATATGAAGAGACTGTGATAAAAGATAGATAGATAGATAGATAGATAGATATGAAGAGACTGTGAGATAGATAGATAGATAGATAGATAGATAGATATGAAGAGACTGTGATAGATAGATAGATAGATGTGAAGAAGACTGTGATAGATAGATAGATAGATAGATAGATAGATAGATAGATAGATAGATATGAAGAGACTGTGATAAAAGATAGATAGATAGATAGATAGATATGAAGAGACTGTGATAGATAGATAGATAGATAGATAGATAGATATGAAGAGACTGTGATAGATAGATAGATATATATGAAGAGACTGTGATAGATAGATAGATAGATAGATAGATATGAAGAGACTGTGATAAAAGATAGATAGATATGAAGAGACTGTGATAGATAGATAGATAGATAGATAGATAGATAGATATGAAGAGACTGTGATAGATAGATAGATAGATAGATAGATAGATAGATAGATAGATAGATATGAAGAGACTGTGATAAAAGATAGATAGATAGATAGATATGAAGAGACTGTGATAGATAGATAGATAGATAGATAGATAGATAGATAGATAGATAGATAGATGGGGAGAGAGAGAACGTTAAATGTAGCCGAGGAAAGAGAACGAAAATAAAAGAAATGTAGAATGGCTGGATTAATGATAGAGAAGAAGAGATTAGGGAATAGTCCAGACGGAAAAAAAAAACGTGGAAGAGAGAGAGAGAGAGAAAAAAGCAAATAGAAACGTGTAAAATGACCGGATTAATGATTAAAGGATAAAAATTAAATTAGATTAGGAAAAAATTCAGACGAAAAAAAAAAAAGAAAAAGAAGGAAATTCTTGACGAACAAAGACGAAAAAAAAAAAGAAAGAAAGAAAGAAAGAAAAGTTTTGCAATCGACAGATTGAAACAAATTTAAACGTTTAAGTGGAGCGGGATGGAAGAAATAGAAGGGGGGCTTTGGCCGCAGGCGAAGAGGAATTGGAAGGAAATACCGGATGGATGATAGGGTGAAAATATGAGAGAGAGAGAGAGAGAGAGAGAGAGAGAGAGAGAGAGACTTAAAACTGAAGACATGTCTTGGAATCAAAAAAAAAAAAAGCGAAGAATATATTTGCTTTCGACTAAAAGAAAACAGAAATAGAAAGAAATAGGCTAGAATGGGTCGCTTTTAATAAGAATGAATATACAAGATCCGGTGGTCACTCGAAGTAGGTTTATGGGAGGAGGGAATTTTGTGCGGATAGACAGGAAAGATAATGGTTAAGCCTACAATACCAGAATGCAGAGAAAGGAATTCTGACTAGCACACAGACACTTCATCGTTTCTTGATAATGTCTAAAGTACTTGAACAAAAATCTCAAAAAACTAACTTCGGACTTTTTAGCCAGAAATTCGAACACAATACTCAACACGTCTGAAAAATATAATAAAAAACTAAACAGCGGATTGTCGATTCTTTGTTTTAGCAAACTTGTTTATATCAATACTTCCTGCTTAAATACACACACACACACACACACACACACACACACACACACACATTTAGTATATATATATATATATATATATATATATATATATATATATATATATATATTAATAATATTAGTGGTAAATATACACGTACGTATGCAATCATATATCTAAAATATGAAATAAATTATAACATATATACACTCTCACTAAATTTTATTTTTTATTTCCCGAGTTGTTTTTTCTGCTTTCTTTTTGAATTTGTAGGTCTGATGAATTGGATCGTATTTACGATTCCAATGGAATAAATTATGACCATGGAATATTAGCGTTTAAGCCTTTTTATTATATATATTCGACTCTCCCGTCGAATTCGACGTATGAGGGTCAAGCAGATCAGTTCCCAGGAAACTGACAGCCCGACAACAGCACATGAGATTTGATTATAATGGTGAAGGTTTCGTGCAGGACCATCCACACTTTTTGAAGGGCTGAATACAGAGACCTGGTCCCCAAACGACCCTCCGCAGGTTTTTTGAATTCAGAGTTGTCCTTCTCCTAGACCATATATATATATATATATATATATATATATATATATATATATATATATATATATATATATCAGGCCATCCCATATGTTCTGTCCGAATTTTAACTTTTTATTAAAATGAACGAAATTTAAAGAGTATTTTATAATGTCTAATGGATCTGAACATTATTTTTATGTTTAGATGCGTTTAAACTGATCAAATTTTATTTCAGAGAACAATAAAATAAAATTTTGTTTGATTAAAACCCTGCTAACATGGAAGTACCCAAGAATCATTTGAGGCACATAATGCTTTATGAGTTCAAGGATGGAACCTCAGCAGCTGAAGCGGCTAGAAACATTTCTCTCAGTTTATGGAGAGGAATGTGTGAATGAAAGAACTTGCAGAAGATGGTTTGCAAAATTCAGAGGTGGAGATTTCACCCTTGAAGATGAAGATCAAACCGGACGTCTAGTTGAGTTTGATGAAAAACTTCTTGAAGCAGCCCTTGAAGAAAATCCTGCTTTATCAGTTGAGGAATTGGTAGTGGTTCTCAGTTCAAATCATACAACTGTTCATCGTCATCTTCAACAACTTGGAAAAGTTCCTAAACTTGGAAAATGGGTGCCTTGTGAATTGTCTGAAAACAACCTCAAATCCCGAGTTGACATCTGCTCTTCTCTCCATTCTCGCCAACTTGTTTCATCTTTTTTGGATAGACTTGTGACTGGCGATGAAAAATGGATCTTTTATCAAAATGTTAAGCATCGTAGACAGTGGCTTGGTAAAGGGGAAGGACCCCAGCCACAACCGAGAAGGGAACTTCATGAGCAAAAGGTTCTTCTTTCAATCTGGTGGGATCGCCAAGGAATAATCCACTTTGAATTCTTATCACCTAATGCAACAATTAATGCTCAAATATACTGTCAGCAATTAGAGCGTTTGAACCAAGCTTTGAAGAAAAAAAGCCCTGCTCTAGTGAATCGAAAAGTGGTGATGTTTCATCAGGACAATGCGCGACCCCAACACAGCAAGAATCACGTCACAAAAAATTGGTTGGGAGAAAATTCCTCATCCACCTTATTCTCCCGATCTTGCTCATTCAGACTACCACGTTGATGTACGATTACTATTGTGTAGCGATTTTTAAAAATATTTTGTTTTAATCTCCTATAATATATATATATATATATATAGATAGATAGATAGATAGATATTACGAAATGGGCAACAATCCGACAATTATTGTTTTAACATATTTATTGTTATATGTTATTCATATAGACACAAGGATCTAAGTAAATGCTCTACTTAAAATAAACATCCTTTCCCCCTGAAGACGGCCGCGAGACCGGAAACCCGTGTAGCAAAATTATGGAAAATAAAGCATAATATTTTTTAAAAAAATCCACATTAGAACCAAAGACGTTTGCGGTTTCTCTTGTTTTTTAATATATATATATATATATATATATATATATATATATATATATAAAAAGAAAGAACAGTAAGATATATAATCCGGTGTTCTTATAGATATTTTTATTTTTACAAAATAGTGCTCAATGTAAATTTACAGAGCATTATTATTATAAATTAATTGATTTAAAATATGTTTTTTTCGCTACACAGTTCTAACCATGTTTCAAAAATGGGAGCTAAAAGCCCCGAATTTAATTTTGTAATTAAATGAAAGACATTAGTTTCATTTCATCCTCAAGCGAATTTTGGAGTAACTTTTAATACACACACACACACACACACACACACACACACACACACACACACATATATATATATTTGTTCCTCAACGCTCGAGGATACTCGAAGTTTCATGTATTTAGTAATCGTCAGGCACAAATGCGACGATTGCTATATGCATGAATGAAACTCAGAGTAACTTTATGGTCTTCTGGCGATATAAAATAACGGGAACATCCCTTCTTGAAACTCACTGTCTGGCGCTACAGAAGCACAAACCAAGAACTATACCAATTAACAGGAAACACATCAAATGTTTAATTATTCTTAGTATAAATTTTAACTGTCATGTTGCCCCAAACATGCACGCACGCACACACACACACACACACACATATATATATATATATTACTTACATCGTTCGGACTGATATTCTCACCTTCATTGCCATATTCACAACGTTTCAGCCGTTGTACGCTGCGGCCATTTTAAGTTGATTAGAATTTCGAACCGGACCCTTTATTTCGTCCACCGTGGTAGGTTGTTCCAGTTCCACGGGCCGTGCCTCTTCCGGATGTCTCAGCTATTTTCCTTTAACTCAACTCTCCAAGTTTTGGTTCACCATTGTTGTGGCCTGATATTGAACTCACACCTCTTTGGGTCTAGTCATCGGATCTAACCAACGTCTTTATCCACTGGGCCAGTACATACTCTCATTAGTCTTTCATTAAAAGCAAATTTTATTAAAGACAACTTTACGTACGATGACCGAAGTTAAGCAACGTCGAGCCTGGTCAGTACCTAGATGGGTAACCGCTTGGGAATACCAGGTTCTGTAAGCCTGGATGTGTCGGTGGTGTAATGGTTAATGACTCAGAATTATTAATTGGAGATCCGATTTACCGTACGATGACCGAAGTTAAGCAACGTTGAGCCTGGTCAGTACCTAGATGGGTGACCGCTTGGGAATACCAGGTGCTGTAAGCTTGGATGCGTCGGTGGTGTAATGGATAATGACTCGGAATTATTAATTGGAGATCCGATTTACCGTACGATGACCGAAGTTAAGCAACATCGAGCCTGGTCAGTACCTAGATGGGTGACCGCTTGGGAATACCAGGTGCTGTAAGCTTGGATGTGTCAGTGGTGTAATGGATATTCACTCGGAATTATTAATTGGAGAGCCGATTTACCGTACGATGACCGAAGTTAAGCAACGGCGAGCCTGCTCAGTACCTAGATGGGTGACCGCTTGGGAATACCAGGTGCTGTAAGCGTGGATGTGTCGGTGGTGTAATGGATAATGACTCGGAATTGTTAATCAGAGAGCCGGGTTTTTCAATCCATTTTGGTTCTGATATATTCATTTACGAATCAATTGCCCTGGGAAAGAAATGAATATACCTCTTATCCCATGAGTTAATTAGTAGAACTTGTATTACTAAACCATTGTTACCCCCCACCTAAAAAAGATATTCTAACAATCTAAGAATATGTCCTGGCTTTAAATAACCTGTAAAGGGTTGGTAAGCCGTAAAAAACGAATCAATCAATCAAAGTAAATCTTTTCATTCCTAAGCTTTTCTTTTCCTAAGGTTAATGCATCATGTGAAAGCGCTTTCAATCGTCTCTCTTCGAAATTACATCAGATAGAAGGAGCACAATAACACCGGCGGATTGAGCAAGTTTTCAGCAAAGATGACATTGATAGGAGATTATTATTTGCGTCTGCGCACTTTTGCCAGCCAGAACGTGACCTCTCAAAAGACGTCGTTGATGTTTCCGCTGAAGTACAAGCGCGCACACACCCACACGCGCACGCGCACGCACACACACACACACACACACACACACACACACACACACAGATATATAGATATGTATATATGTGTGTATGTGTGCGTGTGTGTGTGTACACGCGTGTATGCATTTTCATGTCTCAGAACTGTTTGTTCTTTCTTTCTTTCTATTTAAGTCTGTTTCTATCTATCTATCTATCTATCTATCTATCTATCTATCTATCACGCTCTTTACTTTCTCTTTTAGTCTGTTCATCTCTCTCTCCATCTCTCTGTCTCTCTGTCTGTCTCTCTCTCTCTCTCTCTCTATCTATCTATCTCAGTATGTTCATATCTATCTATCTATCTATCTATCTATCTATCTATCTATCTATCACGCTCTTTACTTTCTCTTTCAGTCTGTTCATCTCTCTCCCTGTCTCTCTCTGTCTCTGTCTCTCTCTCTCTGTCTCTCTTTCTCTATCTATCTATTTCCGTATGTTCATATCTATCTATCTATCTATCTATCTATCTATCTGTTTTTATTCTCTTTTTTCTTTCTCCATACTCATTAATTATTTCGTTATCTCTTCTCAAGGTGTCCCCCCCTCCATGTATGTTGGGTTTCGGATGACATAAACCTTAACGAACCAGTGACGCCACAGACCAAAGCAAACCGCTGATGCTATGCTAAAATGATAGAATGTAGATAGGATACACGTCACTTTATCCCAACCCGATCCCCCAAACAAAATTCGCCCTCCACCCTTCTCCGGCGAAAGATATATTCTGCTTACCCTTTTTCTCTCTCTCGCTCTCAATGTCTTCTTGATCTGTGTTTTTCGACCTGCGGTTGTCCGTTGGTGGCCATGAGCAAACGAAAAACGCGAAACGAGGAACAAAAAAAAAAGGGAGAAACGAAATTGCGTCGCGACTGGGCTCAAGTCATTAGCACAAACAATAAGAATACAGTGACGCTCTTATCAGAACACTTACTCAGTTGATTGTGGCAACTGCAAAATAGGGGTGAACGTGGGTAATAAAAAAGAAAGAAAGAAAAGCCATTAAACTATATCATTTAAAAAAGCAGTACGGGTCTCCCGCTGTTGTCCGGGATGAAAACTTGAGGACTTTTAACAGCAGTAGCAACTAAAATGGATATCACATTTAATTCAAAGAGAAAATAATGATATAATCAAGATGTTGACATTCCATACTACTTCAAATAAAAGGTTAGGAAGGAAACCGTCATCAATACTGGAAAGAGTGATAACAGCTACTAGGCTTGAGAAGAGAAAATAAATACGTAATCAAGATGTTGACATTCCACTCTACTTCAAATAAAAGGTTAGGAAGGAAACTTCCATCAATACTGAAAAGAGTGATAACAGCTACTGGGTTTGAGAAGAGAAAATAATGATATAATCAAGATGTTGACATTCCACACTACTTCATACAAAAGGTTAGGAAGGAAAGTTCCATCAATACTGGAAAGAGTGATAACAGCTATTAGGTTTGAGAAGATAAAATAAGGACATAATCAAGATGTTGACATTCCACACTACTTCAAACAAAAGGTTAGGAAGGAAACCACCAACATTAATGGAAAGAATAATAATGCTTAATGGGCTTGAGAAATCTCCAGTACTACTGTAGATACTCGCGTATAATGCGACTATTGAAGACGTAATTTTGAAGCTAATTTTAAGAGGGTCGCATCATACACGAGATATAAAATTAGCGTATGTACTGTTGTCCCCGGCTACTCCGTTGTCCAAACTCTATATCCATTTACTCTAGTCAAATTACCTTCAAGAGATGCGAGTATATACAATAACTAAAAAGTACTTATAATCAAAGGAAGGGGTGGTAAAAAGTGTGGGATCAGTTTTTGTATTGTTCTTTAATGTTAAAGACATCCCTCATTTCTTGGCCATAGCAGATTCATAGATGAAATTACAAAACCTCGTTATAGATAATCAAATGAAAGGATGACATAAAGTGAGGGATCAGTTTTGTATTGTTATTGCGTATTAAACTCACCCCCCCATTTCTTGGCCACTGTATAGGCTCTCTCTATATATGCTAGACAGGATTTAAGTAACTTCCAAAAATATTCTTATAGATTGGTTGTTATATATACCGTATATACTCGCGTATCCTGCGACTTTTGAAGACCGAATTTCGAAGCTAATTTTAAGATGGTCGCATCATACACGAGATATAAAATTAGCGTATGTACTGCTGGTCATGGCTACGCTGTTGACCAAACTATACATCCATTTACTGTAGTTAAAAAGTACAGCTGTATTTAAAATAAACATGATTTTGATAAAACTGATGTTTTACTTAACTGTATCCAATAATAATGCATGTAATATTTGCATATTAATATTGTATTATAAAATACAAACATGGCGAATATGAATCTTTTCCATTGTTTACGTTTATAAGATGTTTAGTTGTTTCTCGTTTGGTTGTTTATGGCTGTACGCGTTTACGCATCTAGTATAGCGTTACTAACGATACTTTTATGATTCTCTTTTACTTTTTGAACTTATTTAACTAGAAGATGGGATAGAGAGAAGAAAAGAGGTTAGTCTATTGCAGTGGTTCTCAACCTTTTTTTACCCATGGACCCCTTTCCCCTTCTTTTTATCTTGGTGGACCCCTTCATAGCTATTGCACATAACAATTTTCTATTCTTCACTAATATAAATTTTAAGGTTTTAATTATCAAAGAAATAGTATACGATTAAGCTTTATTTTTAAATGAAAACTAATTTAATACAAATAAAATATTCTACTATAATTATAATAATAATTATTATTACTATTTTTAATTAACACAACAATTGTGTTTTGCCTGTGGACCCCCGGAAATATTACATGGACCCCTAGGGTCCATGTAGACCCCGGTTGAGAACCACTGGTCTATTGTAATTTGCTCTCTCAAAAAAGGAACTCACATGATACACGAGATATATTTTGTTGTAAAAAAATGTTAAATTTCATGTATTTTTTATGGCCTTTTAGGCTCAAGCGGCGAAGCGCCAAGATCTTGTGAATCTAATTTTTTTTGAATACTCGGAAGGGGATTTTACATATATTGTCCAATGGGAATCAAATTTTCGTAATTTGGTCTCTCAAAAGAAGGAATTCAGAAGATACACAAGATACATGATCAAATTATTTTTATAAGTGAAAATTTGGGGGTCGCATCTTACACGAGTATACACGAGTTTATAACTTATGTATTTTTAAGTAAATATCTAAAACAAATATTGTTGATGATCCCAATTAAATTAATTAATTAGTTGATTAATAAAAATAAGGTGTAGTAACCGATAAAGACAAGACTTGGAGCCACAGAAATGTAGCTCTACTGAAGGATGCTGAGAATACTATGGCCTAAACATGTGAACACTGACGAAGTTTTAGAGAAGTTCCAAGCAAAAAGGAAACTTATATTTAACACCAGAAAAAGACAGTTGAAATGAGGAAAGGGGCTTAGAAAATTTGACACTCACAGGATATATTAAAGGTGAGGTGGACAGAGGAGAGCAGCAAATAATCGACCTAAGGAGCTTGGGTAAATGGACGGCAGAACAGAGATTAGGGGATATAGCAAAAAGCCAAACTTTTCTAAGGGCTATAAAGGACAAGAAGTTGTGGAGAGCCATGATCTCTCACATCCATAGAAAGACCGAGAAATACTGCAGTGGTTTTGACTAACCATCCTCGACGTTTTGAGGTAATTGCTATACACTAAGCTTAGTATTAAGCCACAGGTGTAAGACACCCAAAGAGGATAGATGTCACTAGTTAATTGTAATGGTCAACTTACTATATATTAGTTCACACTGAGTTGATCAATAAGAGATTACTCAAGTGCCTGCACAGACTGTATCCACATTTTTTTATTCATTTCATTACCAAGCAAGGAGATAATGCCACTAAGACGCAAGGTGTTATGGGAATGAAACAAAATGAAAAGAACTTAGTGAAGAGAAAGGACAATAAAAGAACAGGTATTAAGAAGGCAGAACATGACGATTGACGTTGCTTTTAAATTTCTGAAGATGGTAGGTGACAGAAAAGCAAGGAACAAGAAAAATAGTTTTACAGGTGAGGAGGGCAAGAAAAGAAACTCTTGTAATTTAAGCTACGGTTACATAGGTGTAGATAGATTCGCCTATCGCCCGGTTCATACTCTTTCCCGCTCATTTTAACAGGGGTAGAGATTTATCCCTTGTTTCCTTTTTAGCATTGGGTTTCCGATTTCTTTAAAAATCTACTTCATTTTACTCCCAGTAGCCCCTTAAGCCTCTGTAGCATCGTTGCCTTGCTTGCGGTGATCTGATTAAAAACAATTCAACAGTAGACGTCAAGCTATTTCAACAGTAAAGGGGACCTAATTGCCAATCTAGTAGTGCGCTTAAATTCATCCAGTCGAGGTTCCAAGGAAGAAAGCCCATTAGAACAGTTGTTATGTAAATATTTAGAGAAAAGACACAGGGAAGCCATGTCACAATGGTGGGAACATTAAAAGTAGTTAAAGATGGAATAATATACGACAGACAAATATAACTTGTTATTGGTCATTTCTTTTAAGAATTTAAACTAGTTAAATGTTGACTGGAAAACAACTAACATAACCTGTTTGCAGTTTCTGATCAACATTTAACATTGAAGTTGGTTAAAGATAAAATTTAAAACAACAGGGCGATTGGTAAGAAAATGAAAAAGAGTAATATTTATGAGATACGAACATAGATAGATAGATAGATAGATAGATAGAAACGCAGGTATAACCTATATATCTATATATCCCCTATATAGAAATATAGTTTTAAGGTATATCACAGATAGGGCGTCAGGCGGCCTGACGATTGCGTCTAGCATGAAACAGCCTGTCGCCTCTGAGTGTTGACTTCAATGTTCACTTTTTTATATATATATATATATATATATATATATATAGAATATAATGAATAGACTTCGATAGATAGATAGATAGATAGATAGATAGATAGATAGATATGAAGCAGCATAGATAGATAGATAGATAGATAGATAGATAGATAGATAGATAGGAACAGAATGAATCGGTTGATTGGAAGAAATTTCCACAAGGGAGAAGTTCGAAAAAATAAACTATTAGCATAAAACATATGGTTATATCTAGCTATTTCAACAATAAGACGGTGGGACCTAATTGCCAATCTAGTAGCACGTTTAAATTAATGCAAATTGTGACATCAAGGGTGAAAGCTCATTAGAACAGTTGCCATGGAAATATTTATAGAAAAGATAGGAAAATGACTGAAATCGAGATGCCTGATCAGGAGCAAATTTCATTACAGACCCTTCTTTGGATTTTGCCAAGAATCTCGAGACGTGCAGCAGGAACATCAGACCAAATATGGCGGCAATATTCAATGCACGGACGAATGGTAGGTTTGTAAATGTACAAGATAGATTCTGTCGTAAAAATTTGACACAGTGACCTTACGTTTTCTCCCCGTTGACTTAGCAACTGTTTCAGTGAAACAGTCTCACTTCATACCAACGGAAAACGTTAGACAGAGGTACTGCAATAAGTTACTCTCCTCGAGGTCGGAATCAGTATTGGAGAT